GTTTGAAAAAGTGATCAATATTCAAAACCAGAAACAGAACCAATTTCTTGTTTTTCTGTGATTTATGTCTTAAAAAAGCATAAATAGGAAAAAAATCAAAATATTATTTAGAAGTATTTTTTCAGTCTTTGTGCATTATGTGAGTTACATTACTTTCAAGTAATACATAGCAATATAACTATGTGAGTTATACTACTTTCAAGAACTCCAAAACTATTCCATTTGCACCACGTTTAAGTTTCAAGGCTGTCTGAATGTTAAAAGAAGCAATACGCCCCAAGAAAAGCCTACTCCTCTATGCTGCAATTATTGACACTTTATTAGGTTTAGCACTGAAGGTCAGCAAAAGTCCTTACCTTCTGTTTTGGAAAGAGAAAGGAAATCAGTATTCTGTTGCTATGTGACTGGTTTCCAGGCAGCAGTTCCACTCATTTCTGCAGGAAACAAAGTGTTCTTCTGTTTCTGCAAATGCTGTTTATATTGAGTAAATCCAAGTATGACCAACTCAGACAATTTACTGTGAAGTTGTTATGAAAAAAATGCATTTGCAAAAAAAAAAAAAAAAACCAAAAAAAAACCCAGAATATTGTGYAATCACTCCTCTTGGTTCCTATCTGAAGAAAGAGATGCATCAACAGATTGCTGGCAACACATTTTCTGACTGTTGACTTGAAAGGATGCCAACTGTTATGAACCCTGCTTGATATATTCAATTTATTTTGTGAATAAATACATATTTCCTACCAACACTGAAGGACTCAGACATGTCAAAAGCAACAAGTGTCAGTGCAGGTACTATACAAGGGTGAAGTTTTGGGCTAATGTCAATCAGTACCACTCCAAAAAACAACCAAAGATGAATCTATAAAATGTTTCTTTTTTCTTGCATACACTTTAGTAGTAGTAGTAGTAGTAGTATTGTTATTRTTATTATTATTATTATTATTATTATTATTATTACTCTCTGTTCTTTCTAGAAACTGTGCCTTACACTTCCCATTTAGATATGACTCAATTGTGGAATTTCCTGACAAGTGGAAGTTTTATTTAAGAGATGTCCTTTTTTTCCTCTCTCCAAAGAACAGCCTATATGTGCCAAGGTAGCAGGTAATTTTGAGAGCATAACATTTAACATTTAACATTTAACATTTAACATAATACATAACATTTTCATTAGGTGACACTATTAGCTGACTATTAGCACAAACAAACGAGGAGTGGTAGAAAAGCTTAGAGCACAAACCTTCCTTTATGGACTCAGTTCTTTAAAAAAAAAAAAAAAAAAAAAAAAAAAAAAAGGAAGAAAACACAAATGTGAACATAAATGTCATCAGCAGAAAATAATCTGACTACAATGGGGGCTTCACCCGCATGGCTCAAGCAGCTGAAGCTCTGGATGCTGACACTGCTACTTGCAGCAGATGGTATTGAGCAACGTGAAGCCTGGTTCCCAAAGCTATTCTGTTATTAAAGGATAGGAAAGCTTGTATGTGCACATCTGCTTGCTCATACATGTTTATACATGTATAGATATGAACAAGCATCAAAAATACATGAGCATAATTACTTCTGTAAATATGTGTGATTTCTTCAAAAAGTTTTCCCATCATGTTTTACTTTGCTTCTCCACAATGAAAGTAGGACTCCATGCATTAAATTTTGAAAACATTACCATAACACTTTTTTTTTCCATTTACCCATTCCGGAGTATTGGTAAGAAATTGGAACAAACTGTTAAAATCACATTAAAACTTCAGGGAAAAAAAACAAGGTAATTAAAAAATCCAATTCAAAAGGATGAAACCAAGCCAAATTTGAATGTCATTAAGCAGATCCAACTTCATTGCCCTGTTTCCACCAGACCTGAACTGACTGAATTGAATCAACTCTTATTTGATTACTTTCTCAAATAATAACTCACTCCAAAAGACAGAGTCCCAAATCCACATTTATATCTGCTGAATTTTAAATAATTTAAAGGAAATTGTTACATTTTAATGTAATTAGTATCCTGTAAGATAAATAACTTGAAAGGAGTGTTCACCATCTCTCTCCTCATGAGAGCTTTTTTTTGAATACGGCAAAAAAGAAGATCAGAAGTTTTTGCATTTGTAAATATGGACAAAACTGTGAGAATAAAAGAGTCATCTAATCTGTTGAGAAACAAACATTTATGAGATTATGATTTATCTTTTATGGAACATGTTCTTCAATCTGTATTTCACTCAGAAAAAGAGACAAGAAGACCCCAGAGARAGGAGAAGCGTGGGCATGGTAACAGAAGACATAAGCAACAAGAGTTTGGATGGCTGAAGAGTTTTTTGTGAGTAGGGATCAACCACATCTTTCCTGTGCAGACTGTAGCCCTCAACAGCATGACCCAGTGCTGTGCACAGCTTCCAAGCTGCAGGATGAAGTGGCAGACCCACAACTGCACAGCCTTCTGACCCAAGCTCAGGCTGCTTGTCCTCCTGAGAACAAGTGACCAAAGTCACTTACAAGATGATGAGCAATCCCTCCTCACCTTTATTAACAAACATTATCCAAGCTGTAAAGCTAATCACTCAAGAATTAGGGCGAGGAAAATTGAATTTGCACATGGAAATGTAATTCATTCCCTTTAACACATGCAGGTACAACGTGGCCTTTCATTACACGAGTGTCTAGTTGTGTATTCAGGGAAGCCTCCTACCTCACTGCTTGCAAAAGTTGAAAGGTGTAATTATAGGGATGTAAGAAAGAAAAGAAGGACCTAAGTGTTAAAGCCATYGACTATTCTGCCCTGCAGAGTCAGTTCAGATCTTGGCCTCTACTAAACACGCCTACATAAGGATTCATGGATGGAAGGTCTGCATGAACTTTATTTTCTGTACTTCCTTTATTTTCTGTAAGGATGATCTGTGATTCTAGGATCCAACTGGCAGAAGGGCTGAAGAGCTGAATGTCTTATTGTCTGCTATCCCAAAAAATCAGATGTCAGGAAAAAAGACCTTAAAATCAGTAAATCCTTTTGACCTTTCGGATCCTCCTTTGTCAAATACGGAAAAAAAATTGTGCCTCCTACATTAAAGTTGTGTAAAAAGAAATGATCACTATTTCTGAAAAAAAAAATAATGATAGTCACTAGGAGAAGAGTAATCCAGAGATTATGTCTATAAATATTTACAGTGAACTGCCCTGGACTAATTGCTTTTACTTTCTACGTGCCTTAGGAAAATCCATGCCATGCTTTCTCATTTATGAAACTGTAAGGACAGCACTTCCCTTCTTCATTGGACTTTTGTGAGAACAAGCATATGCTTGAGATTATGAGGGGCTCAGATGCTATGGTGATGTGAAATATAAACACTTGAGATAAACAGTGTTGTGGAAAATTAATGCAGTGAGAAAGCATTGCTTTTAGTTGTCTGTTTTCAGAGCCTTTTATTCCAATCTGAAAACCACAAATTGAACAACCAGGTGGAGGGGAGAACCATGCAGGATATTGAAATGGTACTCAGCAACTGCATGCTTTGCACAGCAAAGGAGAGGCTTTAGAAAGAAAATAAAGTGACAAGATAACATTAATGTCCATGTCAGCATGCCTATGACCCTCAGACCTGAAGTTAAACTTGCAAGGTAACCATATTTTGACAGCTTGAGTGCCTAAATTAGCAGCTAAAATGGTTTCTTTTGCTTATGATCTATAAGAAGTCAGAGAAATAAAACTTCATTTCCTCAGATTTGATCACCACCAGCACCAAGCCTACAGCCCTTCCCCTTGAGCAGAGTCCTACTGATTTCAGAGTAACTATGCAAGCACAGCAAATAATCTGTAACCAGCTGTTTAGTGATGTAAKGAAAAGTTTAAAAATCATTTACAGGTGGGTAATAAAGCCTTGCTGAAAGATTTGGGGCTAATACCGCAAATGCTGAAGTTTAAGAGTAACTTCAGTCACAGGCAGAGTCCATTCAGTGAACTGCACAAGCACGGCACCAAACTCGGTCAAGTGCATCCTAGGAGCTACTTGAGAGTTTAAAGGTTTCAGCACCAGGAATTTAAGCACCAGAAATTCAGCATCTGAAATTTTTCCCCTGTACAAACTGTATCCATGCGGATACACACGCACACCCCTCTATTTTGTCTTGAAGCATTTTTAACACTAGATGATACAAATCTAATGCATGAAGAGGCAAAAAAACAAGTTCACTAAGTAAGCCATGAGCCAGGAATTTTAGCAATATTCTCATTTCGTGTGCGATACTCAGGAGAGGCAGGGAAGGCTTATAGAGCAAATGAAGAGTTTTGGAAAGCGCATTTTTTAGGTAAAATAGATAATGTCTTACGAGCAGGAACTAAATATCATTCAAGTTAGATACACTGAATCCTTTGCCCTGCCAGGGAAAAGATTTGCATTCACTTTTGCTTAACTCTATCTGACAAGCTGCAAGTGCTTCTAGCAAACTTGACAAATATACTATATATAAAAATGCTACATAAAAAAATAGCCTATAGCAAAGTAGTTATGCCACTTACTAGCCTAGCTGGGGAAAAGAGGGTTGCTTTCAACCAAAAATGTTCATTTGGTCCAAAAAAATACGCTACTCTGTAAGGAAATATTCCTAGYGTGACATTCCAGCCACTCTACCACCTCCATGAATTTGATGAGGCTTTTGTATCAAACACACAAACTCTTTTTACACTTGTGTCTAAGATTCCCATGGCAACTCGAGGTGGATGTTGCACCTGGCACAGCTGCAGGTCTAAAATCWCACATCCTGAACGGCACTCACAGACGTTGGGAGGCCAGAGTTAAACGCCTCTATGGTCCACCAGGAGCATTTACACTCTGCGCATTCCTATCACATTGAGGCCACCACCAACACCAACGGATGAGCCCAAGCATCTCCCACCCATTTGAACAGCTCCCCACTGCATAGAGGAGCAGGCCRGCCACCAAATCCAGACGCTCGCTCCACGTGAATCCACTTCTTCGGCTACTTTGCTCCCACCGCTTTACCTGCAGCAGGTGGTGGGCAGCGCGGTAGGCGAGGCGCGGGCCGCCGCGCACGCCGGGCGGCAGCCGCCCGCTGCCGTAGCCGTGCCAGGCCACCACGTAGGGGTTGTCCATGGTGAGCCAGTAGCGCACGTGCGCGCCGAAGCGGCGGAAGCAGAGCTCGGCGTAGTTGCGGAAGAGCGCGGGCAGCAGCGGGCTGGCCCAGCCRCCGTAGGCGTCCTGCAGCCGCTGCGGCAGGTCCCAGTGGTAGAGCGTGACCACGGGCTCGATGCCCAGCTCGCGCAGGCGGGCTAGCAGGCGCGTGTAGTGCGCCAGCCCCGCGGCGTTGGCGGGCGCCGTGCCGTTGGGCAGCAGGCGGGCCCAGGAGAGCGAGAAGCGGTAGTGCGAGACGCCCAGGCGCTGCAGCCCCTCGGCGTCGCGGAAGACGTTGTTGTAGCTGTCGCTGGCCACGTCGCCGCCCGCGGGCCGCGTGCCCGGGGGCCGCGCGCGGTGGGCGAACRTGTCCCACACGGAGGGGCCCTTGCCGCCCTGGCGCCAGCCGCCCTCGGTCTGGTAGGCGGCGCTGCCCGCGCCCCACAAGAAGCCCTCGGGGAAGGTGTCGTGGAGGAAGAGCTGGTCCTCCGGGTAGGGCAGGCGGGCGAAGCGCGCCCAGGTGCCCGCGCCCTGTCCCGGCGCGGCCAGCAGCGGCCGCAGCAGCAGCGGGAGCAGCAGCGGGAGCAGCGGCGGCGGCGCGGGGACCATGACGGCGGCTCCCTCCGCTCAGCCCCGGCCCCTCGACCCCTTTTATGCTCCCGTCCSCCCCCCCGCCGCTGGGCACGGCTGTTAATGGTTACCTCGGGGCTGCGGGGAGCGCGGCGCAGCGGCTCCCGCCGCCGTCGGGGGGCGGGATCGGTGGGGCACGGCGGGRCGCGCGGAGAAGCGAGGCGAGGAGAGGAGGGCGGCGGGAGAGGTTTCCTCGGGGGAAAGGGGAACTTGTGTCCCCCCTTCCGGGCTTCCTCTGCCCCCCGCAGCCCTATGGGGAGCAGAGCTCGCCCGCTCGCTCCATCTCTAGGTACCTGCTCGGGGTCCTCCCCTTCGGAGGCAGCTCCGGCGCTGCSGCTGCTCCGCGCTCAGCCTTGTCCCGTCCCTCAAAGCGGCTTCTCGGGCGAGCGCACGCGACGGCGGAGCCCCGGGAGCGGCGAGCAGCCGCCCGCGGCGCTGCCCGGGGGTCCCGCGGGGATGGGGGGCCCGGCGGCGGGGCTGGGGGGGCCACGAGCCTCCTGGTGCTGGTGATGCCGCGGGGGGATCCCCSAGTCCCGGCATCTCACAAGTGACGGGCGGCGAACGTAGGTCCTGCCTCCTTGCACAAGACAGACAAGGAAATAAACACCTTCAATATCGAAGTTTTGTGCCTGATGCTTTTTATTTTATTTATATATATATTTTTTTCTTTTACTTTAATCTGGCCTTTCCGTTGCGGTACCGTGTCAAGAAACACCGCAGTTGCAACAATAATTAAACACGTCGTGCGGTAATGATTAGAAACGCAGTCACTGGTGACCAGGGACCTCACACACTCCAGCCACACTCACACTAATGCATGAGCTCCTGCCTCCGAGCAGTGCCCTTCCCGTGCTGGAGTTGCAGGTTGGTGTGTTTGGCTGCTTGCTGCATGCAAAGCAAGTTTCAAATAGAAARGCCCCACAGATCTTCACGGGGAGGAAAAAAATCATGCTGCATATTTATTTAGTTACGCCTTTATTTAAACTATTTAGTTATGCTTGTTAGCATAACTAAATAATATCTTGTTTGCTTGTGTAGGGGGTGATAACATGARCTTTTTCTTGAAGGCAGGTCACAGTCTGCTGCCCTTGTCCCCTTTGGATAAAGTTTTGACCAGGGCTCTGAAGTAAGAATTAACTTCAAATATTGCCAAAAGTTGATATTTAATATTCAGTTATGTGAACTCTAGCACGAGTTGGGAGCATCCAAGAATAAAATGCACCTACAAGACAAGCTGTAAAGGACGGAGAGATGTTCCCAGGAGATAAAGTTATTGTTTAACTTTGAAGGCATCGCGATGATTTCATTTTATTTTTAGAAAATAAGCACCCTTAGAGGAGAACTGCACATAATTGTTAATAATGAATCAGTACATTTAAATGCCAGTTGTTAGCGAATGCTCAGCTGCTGGAGGTTTTCTTTTGAGGTAGGATGGGCTCTGGCACCTTCCATAGTCAGAACAGAGCATCTTCTTTGCATCTTTATGGAAGTCTGACCTTTCACCTTTTCCACACTGATTTGACTTGATTTGAAGCTGATGGGTTATTTCATGGTGTTTTTAAGGAGAGGACTGAGGATCCAGAGTGAGAGATGGCAGAATTCTTCCATTCATTCTGATTAATGTATTCCCTTGTTAGAGGGATGGAATTTTATGTTACCTAGGGGCCCGTAGATGTCCATCTTTGAAATAAAGGTGCAGCTTTAAATTTTGTGGGGTGGGAACAAGGAGGAGAGAAGGAGGAGAGTGGCAGGTACTGTGCCAGAGGCTGATCATCCACAACCAGGACCAGGAGTTTGCTGTACAGCCTGACAAGCTGATGAAACTTGATTGCAGTCTAAGTAAATGATAACTTGAGTTCCAACAAAATAATGTGTTAAATATGGATGCCCTTTCAAAGGGAAATGAGTAACATCAAATAAGCTAAATTAGGTGGTTCTCATATTCTGGTGTACTGATCCCATCAGAAAAATGTAAGTATGAATCTTTTTTGCACTTGTAGGGAAAATGTAAAATAGTGGTTGCTGAAGGATTATGCATGTACGATTACTTTTATACCAACACTTTTTTGAAGTTTGACTTATTGGATTCTGATCATTCTTTCAGAGTCTTAAGTTTGTTCTGACGACAGCACCATGCAGCAGATACTTGCAGAAGCTAAAGATTAGATCTTAAGTACATAAAAGCATTACTGTAGTCCTGCTTGTGCAAGGAGTGAAGAACAAGGTTGGACTAGATGGTCTCTAGAGGTCCCTTCCAACCTTAACCATTCTGTGATTCTGTGATTCTGTGATTCTGTGAACTGACCTGATTTCAGCCTTTGCTGGGGTTTGCTGCCTGAAGATTTTGAATATCTGGACATAAATGCAGACCTCAGAAATATCTTAGCCTAAAACACGGTCCATTGCTGTGATTTAAGGGTAAAATAAAGATGGGTATCTGGATACAAAAGATGGTTTAAGATATATCCTCTTCTATTTTGCTCATTATTAATTAGAGCACAGTTTAATACTGATTAGACAGCATGACACCTAACTGAAGCACCTTCATTAGGATCACCTTTTTTAGGGTCTCATTTAGCCAAATGAAAGAAATAGTTTTATAGTGCTAATGTGAGTCTGGTTATCTAAGATCTTAGTCAACTTCTGGAGGTACCTGTTTCTCCAAAACCACAACAGGGAAGCTACAGCGACTGTAGGTCCTGAACTAGGCAGTCCAGTTTTAYGGGATGAAATTCAACCAGAGGTTCTTGTCACAAAGCTGGCACTTCACCTTCATTTTTATCAGATCAAAATTGGGTCTTTAGTTATCAACATCAGAAAATGTGTATTTTATAATGCAACCACCCACACTACCTTCAGCCAATAGCTTTTTTTTTTTTTTTCGCACATATCTCTAACAAATGCTGAGACTCTGCTGCAGAGTCTAACAAATACTGTGCAATATTAACYATTCAAAAAGGCCAACAAAAGACTTGCAGACATCCCGGTCTCCCTCATGGCTCCTTGTATTCCAGTAGGCCTCCATCATGTCTACTGCACTGAACAAGCACACGTCCAACAGGAGCCCAGCTTGGCAGCTTGGGATTTGTTACCTTTCAGTCTTCTTTGCATTAATGCTTAATGAAGGCTCAACTTCTGGTCATACATATGCTGGATATGGTAAATGACAGTATAAKTTAGAGTATAGGCTATACTCAGAAGTTTTCTTCATCAGTTAAGCAGCGGTTTGCAAACAAATCCAGCAATATTCTGACAGAGCATTTCTGTTTCCTTCTAAATGAGACTTCTAAATGAACTTTGGGCCATACTGTCTTGGCTGAGATGCCATGRCTGCCATGACTATTGATGGCGTGTGGTTTCAGGTATAGCAACTGTACTGATAATATTGTGATTCTTCCTGAGCTTCTTTTTTAATATCCATTCTTTATTTACAAACATACTTACAAGCATAAACCCAGTTGACAAATTTTGTGTGCTAAATACTTAAACCTTTTTTCTCAAGACACACACACATGCTTCCTACCAGTTGGAGATGCTGCTTATAAAATTCATCGCCTGAATTCAACCTGAATTTCTTTTTCCTCTTTCCATCATTTTAAAACTATACTAATTATTTATTCTGTCTGCTAAATGCAAAATGCTAAGTCACCAAATTTTACTTCAACTTCTTTATGAATAACTGTTCCCAGGGGAAAGTTATGTAATAATGTTCTAGATTTGCCTTCTTCATCACTGCCAGAACATAGCCTACCTGGCAAATAAGTTTTTCCTCACTTCTCTTAGAGAAAGAGTTGCAAGTCCAATTTCCTTGAAAAAAATCTTATTAYATTTATTAGAATTAGAAACACAGTGTTGTCAGGTCCAAAATATCCCTACCAGTGTAATGATCCAGTTGAAGAATGCTTGGGAAGAAATGAAATCCTTCTCTGTTGTAGCTTTAAGTATCAGACTTTCTAGCTGTAAATATCCAGTTCTTGATTTCCTGTGAGAGAAATGAACCACTTTCCTAAAAAAAAAAAAACAATAAGAGACCTAAACCGCCCCCCTTTTTAGCATGACTAATCCTTTTATCCTGTAAAGGACTCTGGATTGTTCTCCATTATTCTATGGTAGGACCGAGTGTGAGGATGGAAAATTAGAAACTCAACTCAAATCATTTTCACTTCATCCTGGTAAASTGTGGCTCCAAATGATGGGCAAATCTCGAACATCCCCTTGCATGAAAAAGAGAATTCCAGATACTTTGGCCCATCTTACTTCTGAGGGATGACCTMGAATAGCTTCAAGGCAAGCCTAGAATTCTTCATTTTATTCACAGAGGCAGCGATGACAACCCAACTGTACCTAAGAGGGGATATGTGATAACTTGAGGATTCCACATGAATGGATGGCAGGTGCTGGAAAGCTTTCCTGTTTGTGAAAACCCTCCCTTGGGAAGACATAGAAACCCACTTCAACTCTGGAATCACAGAGGGTAATAGGGAATTGAGAAGAAAGACAAACCTTGTTTATGCCATGTTTTATTTCTGACACTTCCCCATTATCCAAATGGTAAGAACTTAGAAATTACCTTGCTGTCTTCAAAAAGACCTTGGCATCTCCTGCTAAACTGGTATAAGAGTGGATAAGACAAAGAGAATGGAAAAGGAAGAGTATCTGTACTGGGGAAGAAAAGTTGAGAGGAGGTGGGGATGGCCTCCTCTCACCATCAGAAAGACTCTGGAGCASTTGGAGAAGGGCCAGGGATGTTCGGGAGAAGACAGAGGAGAACATTTCTTGTCAACCACAGCCACGAAGCGCATGAACTACAATGGTCACCTCTGATTGACTGAGAGAGGAACCCAAACCTGAGTACATTGGTTGCAGAGCTTGGCTCTCAAAAGTCCGCTGAACCTGTGTGTACAGCTGATTAYGAGAGACCAGGGCAAGTACAGGCTGAGTAGGAAATTGCCTATTGGTTTAGGCACTTTCAGGGTAGA